TTCATCATATGGCATACTGAGTTCTACCAGTTTGAAGCATGCCAGTAGATGTTCATCATATCTCATACTGAGTTCTACCAGTTTGAAGCATGCCAGTAGATGTTCATCATATCTCATACTGAGTTCTACCAGTTTGAAGCATGCCAGTAGATGTTCATCATATCTCATACTGAGTTCTACCAGTTTGAAGGATGCCAGTAGATGTTCATCATATGGCATACTGAGTTCTACCAGTTTGAAGCATGCCAGTAGATGTTCAGATGAGTTCTACCAGTTTGAAGGATGCCAGTAGATGGCATACATACTGAGTTCTACCAGTTTGAAGCATGCCAGTAGATGTTCATCATATCTCATACTGAGTTCTACCAGTTTGAAGGATGCCAGTAGATGTTCATCATATGGCATACTGAGTTCTACCAGTTTGAAGCATGCCAGTAGATGTTCATCATATCTCATACTGAGTTCTACCAGTTTGAAGCATGCCAGTAGATGTTCATCATATGGCATACTGAGTTCTACCAGTTTGAAGCATGCCAGTAGATGTTCATCATATGGCATACTGAGTTCTACCAGTTTGAAGCATGCCAGTAGATGTTCATCATATGGCAGATGATACAATCCCAACCTGGTCACAAAAACTGCTTTAAACAGAGTTGCCAACATGTACAATTGTTTCATATCAGTCAAGATTTTACACACCAAATTGTGACAGTGCAACCATTTTGATGAAAGTACAAATTTCTGAAATTCTGTGCATGTAATTATTTGAAATATAGACAATAATGTTGGTGATGATATGGTGTAAATATCATTAATAATACTTCTGTCAGTCAAAATACCCAAGAACTATAAGCAGTAACGGGTAACTAGCATACAAGTACATGTACTGATTGGTTGATAAACAAACAAACCCCCCCACCTTTCAGTAGAAGGGATTCATTGTAGTCTGCAAATAATACTTGAAATACTTTATTTCCCAAAATACCGAATCCCCTAGAAGGGGGTGAACGTTGTACATGGGTGTGCAATTGCTGAAAAAAATGGTATATCCAGATAAATGCCTGTAATCATAAGTAGTTGTATATACCACTCGGTCAACACGATCCAACAGCAAAAACATTGTGGGTGAGGGACACTTCAGGATGGGATGGATATTGCTGGCAATATGCCAGTTCAGTTGATCATGTGACATTTCCTGCCTGCATGTATGTATGTTGGTGATAGCTCATGCTGTATAATTTACACTAATTATCTCACAACACATTATCTCATTGCCCGCTGATGGGAGCTTTGTTCTCTTTGTGTTAGCTGGATGTTTAGAGGTATTAGCCATCTTGTCTTTGTAAAGTTTGATTTTCATTGATCATGTGCTCTTTTGTAATAGACAGTTTGTGTTAACTTAAGAAATTTTATTTTAGCATATACGCAAAATGGTTGACCTTGAAATAATGTTATTATTATCATGATCATATCCTGTATTTTGTGTGTTATTTAAGATATTTGTGTGAAGCCCATTTCTGGTGTGCCCCGCCATGATATTGCTGGAATATTTCTGAAAGCGGCGTAAAACTAAACTCACTCACTATTTATAATATTCAAAGTCCATGTGATATTCTAGGTGTAATTTAGCGTTAGTAGCTACATTTGGAGAGAAACTGTCAACTAGTTTTGTCTGGAGTGTGGCTGTGGGGTAGTCTGTAGGTTAGTGTGTTCGCTCGTCACTCCAAGAACACGGTTCCATTACCCTTGCTGAAAGTGGCATAAAACCATAACTCACTCACCCATGACCGGAGCAATACCATCATGTAATCTGTGTTCAAACTGAAAGGGAGTCGGCAGCCCAGTTGTTTAAGGTATGTTGCTGAGGTCATGGTTTCGAATCCCATTTTGATTATGAGTCCAGGTTTGCTGGCATCATAGGCCTTCTCATTTGTTTAACCAGAGTTGTCTAATATGTGCATCCATTCTACCTTCCCTCCCATAGCTCACACACACATAAGTCTACTGATATACAATTGTACACAGCATCAGACCTAATCTCCCCACTAACAGTGTGTCTCAGCATGTCATATTTCACAGTTAACAGGGATTGCTCATGGTGGCAGTGAGGTGGCCTTGTGGTTAAAGTGTTCGTTCGGCTCGTCAAGTAAAACAACACAAGAAACGGAGTTCGATCCTCGCTCGCTCACTCACTCACTCAAACACCCACCCACACTGTAGCTTGAATTCTAGATCAGATCATCAGACCAGACAATAATTCTTGATCTGACATTTTATCTGTCTCCATTGTCATTGATTTCAAGACATTATAGGTGTGGAGCACCACGTTCAGTGTCCATTACTCTGCTGTATTCATGTAAGAAAAATATTGTTCAAAGCAGACACCCAAGTGAGTGAGTCCAGTCCGGAGTGAGTGAGTGAGTGAGTTAAGATTTATGGTTACATTGGCATAAGTTCAGCCATGCTGAGCTCCCAATAGTGAAACCAGTGTAGAATTAGTCATTCAATGGATTGTCTGTGTTTATAAAGCTGTTATCAACAAGCTAGGGTGATTCTGCATATAATGAGTATTACTCGTCATGAGTTTTGGAAACTTCTTATTCCAAATTTCACGAGGTTGGGTACCCTGCATTCATAAATGATGTGCCAGATATATAGTATATCCTTTTATGATGTGCCAGATATATAGTATATCCTTTTATGATGTGCCGGATATATAGTATGGGTATCCTTTTATGATGTGCCAGATATATAGTATATCCTTTTATGACTATATTTGTAATTACTTACTTGGTAATCTCACTTAACATCTGAATAAGATTCTATTTTAGAATTATTCCTCAGTCATTACCAGTATCTAATTAGAATGTGATATCAACCAAGACAAAATAATTAACTTATCTGTAAATATTCACATCTGATGCCCTATATTTAGTTCAGAAGCTGTATTCATGAAGTGGATTCCTGCATGATTCTGATAACACTTTGTGTAAAGTTATCGTGGGTAATAGATTTCAAAATTAGCAGTTTATTTTAATGTAGTGTATTTTTCACACACATACCAAAACTGTTCATTAATACACTCAATGCGGCCTCTTTGGATCTCATATACACTGGGGGCGGTGGGGTAGCCTAGTGATTAAAGCGTTCGCTCGTCACGCCGAAGACGCTGGTTCAATTCCTAACATGGGTTCAATATGTGAGGCCCATTTCTGGTGTGTCCCGCTGTGATATTGCTGGAATATTGTTAAAAGTGGCATATAAACAAACTCACACACTCATATAGACTGGAGGGTTGTACCTGTAATCATTTTATCACATTAAGGTTATGAAACGGCCCCTATGACTTCCATGCTCTATTTCAAATAAAGGATTGCATGACAAGGACCAAGTGATGCTGGACTGAGTATGATGGCCTAGTGTGTGGTCTGTATAGCCTCATCCTTGTTGGGGAGGCTGCTCCACAATACAGAGTGGCTGTTATCTGAGTCAAGCCGTATGACTCATGCACTGTTCAACTGCTCCAATGCTGTCGCGTCTCAAATAATTTACTTCCTGACTGTAAAAACTGCAACCGTCACTTCATGATTTGTTTATATTCTCTCTGGGTACTTGAGGTTTCCGTGGGCTTTGTTTGCAAAATGCTATAATATGGGTTTGTTATACTATCATGGAGGAATACTTTATTTCTTCTTTTGCATGTATACTTTGTATATTATGAAGAATATGAACTTGATAAGAAAAATTGTCATCAGTTTAATTATGATTATTGTGAATTGTATAAGAAGTTTTAGAACAAATTTATGATTTTATGACATTCATTTTTTCTGTTGTTTTAATTTCATAAATATCTCTAGACCCATCAGCCTGTTTCAAAACTAAGACTTGTCATAATTATAAATTTCTGCATACTTCAAGCCCAAAGAAACTTCTCCTTAATATGACTTATGTGAAATATTGAAGTGAGTAAACACAATACTTGACCATAATCATGATGATGAACACATCTATTTTATGTAACATCACTTCCTGTCAGTCACTTCCACAAGTTATTCAGTTTTGTAAGAGTCTTGCACTGCTCTTGAATGATTTTCCTGTTTCCTGAGTTTATGTTCTTTTAAATTCTGATTCTGCTGATTACAAAGATCTTAAACACATTGTAGGGTTATGTATCTCTCTTCCAAAGGGGCTGTTTGTGTGAGGAACATTAGTCTGTCTCACAGTCTCTGAACCAACTGCCTAGCCCTCCCTGCAATACTAGAGCCCAAATGAAGCAAGACTAGATCCTCAGGTTCCTGAACCGCTCAACTCACTGGGGCTCCTTTTCAATTTAAATAGGTTTATTTGTTACTGTCAAAATTCAGGTGACTAAGCGTTAGTCTAGAGGAACATGGAAGAGGAGGAATAGCCCTTTGTGAAGAACAGTCCTGGTTGTCATGGTAACCGATACATGACAACCATTGTCTAATGACATAACTGAAATACCACACTGTTGCATAATGATTACTCCCTAAGAGTCTGTACACAATGACTGGTCCATGGGCAACGTGCGTCTGTGTAGGCCAAAACCAACATGGAGTAAAGTGATCGTCTCCCACCACAGTTTTATGTTATTGAGTCTTCCTAGGACATCACCAGACATGACATATAACTTAACACACACCTTGATTTTTCGGGAATATTGTTCAAAATGGCCTCCATGGTCCTGTGGATAGATCATGTGACATGAGGGCTGAAAGTCTGTTTCAATTCTGTCGGCCTCGTCAAACCAGATGTTAAGAGATGGTACTTGTTGTTTCCCTGGCTGTTGGATGGTGAGATTGGTCGTAGGACTGTCACATTTTGCTGACCCATCAACCTCACCCAACCCCAACATAACCTCCTGTCCACAACCCCAGGTATATGTAATGTTTGTTATGGTCATTTGATGTCATCATGTGCAAATATGTGTTGATATGTTACAATAAAGGTTCTAATCTTACTAATTACTGTATTTTCAGTTTCCCAGGATTCATCAGTTTAGAGTATGACGGAGAAGACACAGATAAGGAAATAGTGACTATGTAATCCCAAAGGAGCCTCTGAGTTTGTAGTAACACTGTGCTTATGTAGCGATGGCCCCAGTACTGTACGAAGCATAATATGTTGCTGTATTCTTTGCTGAAACTTCTGATTTTTACAACTTGAGACTGCTAGTTGAACATCATGTTTCTGAAATATATACCAGCCAGTCTGTTCTTGCCCTTTGTCATAGCTTTCTATAAAGTCCAGGAGATCGGAAACGAGGACACAACATTGCAACAAATAACAATTAATGGAGATACGGGACAGTTGTATGTTGGGGGCAAAAATATCCTTCTTCATTTTAATTCTAATTTAACCAAACTTTCTGAAACAGTGACTGGTCCCGTTGAGGATAATATACTGTGTCCTCCAGTTGACCTTCCATGTGAAAGGTCAAGGTCATTGACAGATAATTTGATGAGTGTGCTGGAGATAGACCCAAGCAAGAAGAAACTGTTGGTCTGCGGGTCTGTGTCCCAAGGTCTGTGCAGCGTGCATAGTCTGTCCAATGTTGCTAACTTCAAACAGCTGAATAAGTCGGACATTCAAAATTTTGTGGGCAGCAAAAAATCCGTCTTTGCTTTCTTTGACAAAACAGTGAAAGGATTTTTGTATGTAGGTCAAGAGTATGATAGGCGTGCATTAAAATTCTCACCTGCTGTTCTGTCAACAAGATTTGTCGAACAGTATCGAGATACATTCCAAATTAAATATTTGAAATATGATACACAGATACGTCTATTTTCTGCTTTGGATATTTTTGAGGCTTTTAAAGCATCATATCATATGGAATTTCTTTACGGCTTTGAACACAACAACTTCACATATTTCATCACTGTTCAACAACAGAAAATCACCTCACGTAATACTGTTGTGACGAAACTTTTGCGTATTTGCCAAAGTGACCAGTTATACTACTCGTACATGGAAATTGAATTGAAGTGTTCTCGACAAGACGTAAAATACAACAGGGCGACGGCTGCTCACTTCACGGAAAGCAGCAACGGTATCAGCAGTGTCCTGTACGTAGCAGCAGGCATCACGGAACCAGCCTCAACTGATCTGAACGAAAAGCGGGGATTTGCGATCTGTAGGTACAGCATTGATAATATTGAAGATGACTTCCGTGATGCGCAGGATGACTGCTATTCTTACGAACGTGGAAGTCGACCTGATTGGGTGTATAACACTACCAGTCGGAAATGCAAAAAAGAAGTAAGTTTGTTACTATGGTTACATTGAATTTTTGTTGAAAAATATTAGCTCCTTAGAGGTAAGTGAGTGATTTTTAACCATGGGAACACTATTTACATACCGTAAATCAACATGAATCACTTATCCCGAGTTCATATTTTACACATCTGCTTCATTTCAGACTAAACACCTGATATTTTTACCTTATCCTGCATTACTCATTAATGTATTTACTGCTTTCCCTTGACAACACGAAGCTGTGCGATGGAAACATCGAAGAGAAGTTGTTCCAACTAAGCGAGCCGCCATATTGCCATCGCACTGTGCCCACGTGACCCGGAAGAAGCTGACGTCACATATCCTCACATTAATAATAATAATAATAATAATTGATTTATAGAGCGCCTATTTCCAAAAGATATTGCTCAATGGCGCTATAAAGAGGGAAGATTGTAGACAATGTCTATGGAAAAGAGAGTTTGAAATTATGAGTTTTGAGGGCAGTTTTGAAAGCGTTAGCAGATTCTATTTCTTTTAGGGCGAGTGGTAGAATGTTCCAGAGATAGGGGGCTGCAGCAGAGAACGCTCTTGATCCCATGGCTGTTTTGACGTGAGGCTGGGTAAGCGGTAGGGAGGTTGACGAGCGGAGCAATTGGCTTGGAACAGGGAGATGAATGAGGCTTTTAAGATATTGAGAAAACATGTTTTCATAGATGCAGCTGTGTGTAAGAAGAAGAAGTTTGTATTGAATTCTGCTTGATACAGGAAGCCAGTGAAGAGTTTGGAGGATAGGTGTCACAGTTTGGTAGCGTGCAAAAGGGCAACAACACGGGCGGCTGAATTCTGAATCCGTTGGAGTTGTGAAAGGAGCTGTTGACGAATGTTGTAATAGAGGGAGTTACAGTAATCAAGTTTAGAGAGAACAAGGCTGGTCGTTAGAAGCTGGGCGGTGTTCAAGTCTAAGAGGGTTCGGATCTTGCTAATATTGAAGATATGGTAGAAGCATCCTTTGCTGAGTGATTTGATTTGATTTGCTAATGACATTGTTGATTGAAAGATGACACCAAGATTTTTTGGTCGTACTGCGTGATAACATCTTGTCCAATTTCAAGAGATAAACTGTCAGGCACTTTAGAAAGTTGATGCCTGGATCCGATGGTCAAGAACTCAGTCCTGGTGTCATTCAATTTCAGAAAGTTCAAGGTCATCCAGTCTCTTATTTCAGCAATACATTGTTGTATCTTCAGTGCACAATCTTCAGCAAGGTTAGGCTCTGCTGACAGATAAAACTGATTGTCATCAGCATAGAGATGAAATTTCAGTGAGTGCTTTCGGACAATGTCACAATGGGAAGAATGTACAGACTAAACAGTAAAGGTCCAAGGACAGATCCCTTGGGGAACGCAATAGTGGAGTGGTGATGCAGTGGAGAGTACAGATTCCACTTTGACGGACTGAGACCTATCAGATAGGTAAGAACGTAGCCAGTCAAGGACAATTCCATCAATACCGACTCTGACCTTCAGACGCTTCAGAAGAATTTGGTGATCAACAGTATCAAAAGCACTGGAGAGATCCAAAAGAACAAGGAGAGTCACCTTACTGCTTGTCACCAGCCTGACAGGCCGTGCGATTTCTTCTGGGATTTTAAATTGCGACTTTACACGTTTGTTGTGTTTCTTTGTCAGTTTCTTTAGTTTCTTCAGAAACGGTTTGTGTTTTTCTCATCTTACTTTTTATTTGAAGAGAACTGTTTTGTGTATTTGCTTGGCCGGCACGTTAATTATCTGTTTCACGTTTAACTTGTGCGGCTAAGTGTTCCATTAAGCCATGTTGAATTCTGAATGCGTGAACACGTCCTCGTGTTTCACTCTTTTATTTAGGTAATATTTTTGGTAATAGCTTTTAGCTATACATTTAACTTGGGTATTTATTTAGTATTTTGTTGCAAGCGTGTTGTTTTTTCCCTTAACCATTTTCCTTTGGTTGGCGGGAAATATTGTTTGTCTATTGTTTTTGTGTGTGTTTTCTTACACACTTTATTATTGTGGGCTTCTGCTTATATTGCAGATTTATGCCCCGTTGTATTGCTTGCAACGGCAGCAAGTCAAGCAGGGACCCCCATCCGAGGTGTTTAAGCTGTACTCGGCAGTGTTCCCTGACATTCAAGTGTTCACATTGTCTTCGACTTTCCCCCTCAGCTTTCAATTAGTATCTGCGGGTTTCTAGGAAACGACTCACGCAACAGGCATATAGACGTAGGATGTCGGCTTCTCAGGACTCTGCTATTTCCCTGGCTACTGTGGAAGTGCGGGGTTCTTCACAGGAGACGTCACCCCCACTAGCTATGGCGATGTCTGGTTTGTCTTCCTCAGCGTCTTTTAGGGATTGTTGACACCTTCTGCTACGTAAGTGACTCCGTCTGCTACGGCATCGACACTGGTAACTCCGACTCCGTCTACGTTCCCGGCACCCTTGGTGTCATCTGTGATGTCTACTGCAGCGTCTGTGGTGCCTCCTACTTTACCTGCCGACCAGGGTGCGCCTACGGCGCCTTACATGAATCCATGTTGAATGCAGTCCATGGTTCAACAGAGGATGGTGCCTTCGGGTATCCCTCCATTTACTCCACAGTTGGTGTTCTCCTCCCTCCCGGGACATGCAGCGGTCGCAGCACATCTGGCGACTGGGGCGCCTCTCCCTACGGCCACCCCTCTCGTGCATGCCGTATCTCTATTACCAACTACACAGTCAGCACCGCTTGTACCTGCCGTGCCATTGGTACTCCCGGTGCCTCCTTCATCTGTGTCTCCTTCGACTCTAGTGTGGCGCCTTCAACAGTTACGGGTAGCGCCTCTACTTCTAGGGCTACCTCTTATCGCGATTCGGCTTCACCAGGCACCAGTTCACGCCAGAGCAGGAAATCCTCTAAACAGAGGCGCCGATGAAAGAGTCGTTCTCCAGTCTGGAGGTCTTACAGCCACCTTTCGGATTCATCGGAAGACTATGAGGACTCATCTCCGGAATTAAATACTCATTTAGGACTTCGACAAGTTCCGGATTGGATGGCGGATCGATTGTCTGAGGTGGCTTCTTCCCCAGGTCCAGGCATTGACAAGAGGGACACTATTTGGTCAGACCCAACTTTTATCTCTCCGGAACCGCTGATTAAGGATTTGATAACGGCACTGGACGAGGACTTTGCCAAGTTATCTCTCACTCCATCCATTAAGGCGCCACGTTTTCATAGGGATGATTTTCCTGTTCATGCGCTTGATGTGGCGGATTTGCCTCACTCACTTGATAGGGACTTACATCGTATGACAGGCTCCTAAACCTGCAACGCTTCGTATGCCGGACACTCGTTTAGCCTTTGTTGAGACAGAAATTTGTCGCTCTCTTAAACCTTTGTCGGCATTGGCTTCCTCTTCGAGGGCGATTACTCAGGATTTGTCGGAAAACAATCCGAATCGTATAGACCATCTCCGCACTGTGATGACTTTTCAACAGAGGCAGATTGAGCATATGAGTAATCATTTGAAGGTGGTTTTAGTTGAAATCACATCTACTAGACGCCTGGGATACTTGGCTCTTACAGACTGGAACTCTGAATTTAATGCCGTTTGTTACGTCAGCCATGGTCTGCTTCCTCCCTATTTAATGGTGAAGTTTCTAGTACACACTCCCGTGTCTCTGCTTTCGCCCGTGATGAGACGGCCCTCAAGGCCCTGGAACAGGTTTCCAAGAATTCGACTTATGCAAGCCCCAGTCCAGCCAGCCCTTTCAGGGTGGAGGTCGTGAAAGAGGGAGACAGTTTGGGAATTACCAGCCCCGCCGTGACAAGGGTTTCGGTAGGGGGAGGTACCAGAGGGGCAAGCAATGAAGTGCGGGACCTCGACGACTGGGAACTCCCACCCCCAGTCGTTCCCGGTCACAGACGCCCCAGTAGGTGGGAGACTGGGTCGTTATTGGAAGAATTGGTGTTTACTAGGGGACCCGTTCGTCACCAATTTTCTCCGGCGGGGTTATCCACTTCCTCTGATAGACAATCCACCATTAACCATCTCACCCCAAACGGATGTCTACACACACCCACCCACCCAAGTCAAAAGGGCCCCATATTAAAAAAATAATTATAACAAAAACACTTATACACAATATACAGTCAGACCTCGTTAATACAAACACTTTGGTTTTTAAAAAAACCCGTTCGGATAGTGAAATGTTCGTACTGCTGAAACCACAGTATATGCACCGAGTTACTTCCCCTTGATACCTTTCCTTACTATCGATACGTGAAGAAATCAAAACAAAACATCAAAGACAATCACTGGATTTATTACACATTGTTTCACTCACACGTTTTACTTACAAAAGTAGTCTTTAATGGTGGGCTGCTGCAAAGGTTGTTTTAAAGAATTGAGCATGTCCATTGCTTTATCTGCATTTTCGATGTCACCCTGGCACTCGTAGTACGTAATGATGTTACCGAGAGACAGCCTCATGTCTGTTAAAGACGGAAGGGTGACAGTGTCTTCTGCTTCTTCTTCTTCACTTTCAATCTGATCATCTGCAGCTGTCACCATCTCTGTGATGTTCTCTGAAGTCAGCGAATCACAAGTTTCTTCGTTGGCATCGATGAAATCATCAGGCGGCATGTTTTCATCATCAGACAGGAGGTGTTGAAGTAGCTTTTTCAAGTCGGCAAGCACGATATCATCTTCGAGATCATCAGTTTCAGAGGTCATCCACGCCTACTTGTTGAAACTGTACCGAGCATAGATTTCTAGATTGAAGTCTTTCCCAAACAGTGTGCTCGTCGAAATATCCCTATCATGAAGGGTTTCACTTCGATGGTACCTGTTGCATTGCAGCATAATGCAACTGTCACTCTTTCTTTCGACTTCTTCACACCAGGTGTTTTCTTAGAGGCAAGTGTGTGATTGGGTCTGAGCTTATAAAACAAGCCGGTGTCGTCAAGATTGAAGATGTCGTCTTCGTCGTAATTTTTCAAGACTGATTTCAATTCTTCTTTACCTTTAACTACTGCATTCCTATCAGCACTGGCAGCTTCCCCCTGATAATTTTGTTTCTTAATTTGATGACGAGATTTGAAGCGGTAAAGCCAACCGCGAGAATAACCAAAATCATTGATTCCTAATTTTGAGCCCAATTCCATGCCTTTCTCAGTTAACATTTGGTCATTTACTGAAGCAATTTTTGTGTTCATTTCTGTCATCCAAAGATAAAGTGCTTCCCTCTAATTTGGCATGTTTAGCATTTCGTTCTCTTGTGAGAGATAGAGAATTTTCCGAAATATTTAGCCACTTATCCTTACTTTTCCAAATAACCAAAACAGTAGTTTTGCCGACAGAATGACCGAATTCTTCGCCAAAATGTTTACTTAAAAAATCGAAACTGGCTTTAGGATTTCTTTCTTTGTATAGGCAAATTTCCCTTTTTTGAGCAGCAGTAATTTCGAAGCGTTTACGCTTAGCAGGCTGGCCAGCCATAGTGAAAATGCTTTGTGAAATGTTTACCTGTACATATTTATAGTGGAATATTTTAACAACACACATTGACACTTCTCACTCACTATATTTGGAGTAAAAGTTGTTAAAGTGTTAACTGGACTGGTTAGGCTTTATGATAAAGGGATCAAAGGGATGAGTCGCTAAGTTGCTAAACAAACAACGTATCACTTTGGGTGGACCAGTCAGCAGCGCGGTCAACTTCAATCATTCGGATTAACGCAGCTGTTTACAACTTAATTAGTCCAATCCGTTCCGACTGACCAGCGTTCGGAGGTGGAAACTGAATCATCGGACTCACGAGGTGTCAATTATATCCAATATATAGGGAGATGATTTGGTGCCCAGTGAGTAGCGTTCGGAAGTCGGTGGATTTGGATTAACGAGGACCGGATTACCGCGGCCTGACTGTAACTCCTTTCATGCCATATTTGTGTGTTGACAATCATGTAAGCTGTCACTAATCCCTTAGATGTCTTGTTTGCCCTGCTCTTCAGTGAATACTGTCAGAATATTTTAGAGTATTGTTTTCTTTGTTATTAAACCTTACAATTGACAGGTTTAACCTCACTGTGCCGACTCTGTGTCAATGAGTGACAATAAAATCATGGACAGACTTGTTTTTGATATCACTTCCTTCTACTATGGCAGTAGAGTGTGTGAAGTGTTTGAAAACAGTGAAAAAACCCCAGCATGCCATCAAGTGTGATTGTTGCACGAGATGGACCAACAGGACATGCGACACAGGAGTATCAAGAGACCAGTGCTAGTATTTACAACTTGTGGACAGTGGGGATCATTTTCCTTTTAGCTGTCACATGTGTCAGACCACTCAAGATGCTGCTGCATCTGTCAGTATAGAAGTCGGTCATTTCTCTCTAATGTTGGAGACTTCAGTGTGCATTTGTCTATTTGTCTATCTATTGTCTGTCATTATTTTCTTTCTAATATTGAAAAAAATATCTATTAAAAGCAGGACTAGTATGCATAAAATATACATTGTATAGATGTATAACGTTTTACTATAATACTTTTGAAAAAAATGTTATTATTTTTTTTATTATGGGGCCCTTTTGACTTTTTGATGCAGCCCTTTTGACTTTTTGATGCGGCCCTTTTGACTAGGGGTATGCGGCCATTTTGACTTTCTTGCTGCCCTTCCCTTTTGACGTTTCTGTTTTGTGTCCCTTTTGTCATGCGGCCCTTTTGATTAGGACCCGTGGCAAGTACTTCTGGGGTTACATGGTTCTGACTACCAGGGGTCGCCTTCAACTCCGTCCGATCCAAATTTTTCTTGCCCCCTTCATCAGGTGCCAAGATCAGTCAATTTCCATCTCTCTCCTGTCTCACCTCAAGATGTACCTACAGTGGTAGACGATAGAGTCGAACGTCTTAGGAGGCGTCGCCTTGACCGAGTTAACACCCACTCTATGCCTCTTCGTAGATGCGCCTCTCCAGGGTTGGGGAGCCCATCTCGAGGGCAAGGGTGTCTCAGGGCGGTGGTCTGCCGACCAACGCCAGTGGCATATCAACAATCTGGAATTGGAGGCAGTCATTCTGGCCGTATCTCATTGGCAGTTGTGTCTTCAGCATGCCGAACTCATCATATCGACGGACAACACCATAGTGGTTTGGTGTCTACGCAACCAGGGAAAGACTCATTCTCCATCCCTGTTATGTCGGGCATTTCGATATTTTCATCTTGTCGATCGCCATGGCTTGAAGTTCATTGTCCAGCATATTCCGGGTTGCAGAAACTTTCTGGTGGACGACCTTTCCAGACCGGACATGGTAGCACCCACGGAAAGGAAGCTTCACCTGGAGATCGTGTGTCGCCTTCGTGGCCATCCCAACATAGATTTGTTTGCCACCAGTCAGAACTTTCAGATCTGAACCTACATATCTCCGGTTCCGAATCCACAAGCATGGGCGGTGGACGCTCTCAGCGTTCTTTGGGAAAACCTAAGCACGTACGCTTTTCCACCCTCGGTCCTTCTGCCCAGGATTCTGCAAAAGGTCAGTGCGACCAACCATCTCACTCTGATTTTGATCACGTCTTGGTGGCTAACCAAGAGTTGGTTCATGGATTTAAGAAAGCTTGTCACCCGTGAGCCTCTAAGGCTGCCAGAGTGGCCAAACGTGTTAATACACCCACACAGCAGGCTTCCACACCTGGCTCCAGGTCAGTTTCATCTGCACGCCTGGTACATTTGCAAAGGGCTTTAAGTGCCAAGTGTTATTCAGCTAGAGTGGCAAGGCCTTCTACTCGAGGTTTATATGACGACAAATGGAGATCCTTTGAGAGTTTTTGCAAGACCAAACACCAGGATCCTGTTACCGCTTCACCTCAATTGTGGGATCTGAGGATGAGGCAGAACTTCATTCATGCCCGGTCCGCGCACTGCGTGTTTTCTGCATCGGTCTAAGGCTCATCGTGGTGCAAGGAAACGGCTCTTTATTCCTGTCTCCAAGACATCCAAGGCAGAAGTTTAGTCGTCACACCTTGACATTATGGTTGCGTGCCATCATTCTTCAGGCTTATGAAGCCGCCAACTTGGACCCTCCTCGGGCAAACAACCCTCATGAAATTAGAGCGGTAGCATCCACAATGGCCCTTCACAGTAATTGTTCCATTAAATCCATCATGGAAGGATGTTTTTGGAAGTCTGATACCGTTTTCGCCAGTCACCTCTTGAGAGACGTGGGGTTGGAGGATGTAGAGGGTGTACACAGTTTTGGTCCTTTGGTGGTGGCACAGCAGGTTACCACTTCCGATCGCCATTAGCTCCACGGCAGTCCAGAGCGAGCCTTGCAACTCTTTTGGTGTACGTCACCTCAGACAAGCAGGTTACATGCTGTTTGCATTCGTTCGGTAGGTCAGTTTCAGATTTTAGCGTATGCTTTTCTTTTACTGTCAGGCTACCTGGACGCCTTCCATCCCTCACTGTTTTCGTTTCTCCTGGCAGGTGTGGTCTTTAGGATTCTTTGGCCAGGGATCCTGACGGATTATCTCTGCCAATGTGAGAGGTTTCTTTTTCTCAAGAGTATATCATCTGAAGGTTTGCCCACCTCCTTTCCGTCCGATACAGAGTAATGCAGGTTAAGGTAAAAATCTAGTAAAATCTAGATATTTTTCATATTTGTATACTTATCCTGCATTACTCAGTCTTGTCGCCTGCCCATCGCTGCGCTGCCCCCCCCACGATGTTTTTCTTCAGATGTTTCGATCCAGGACTAATTTGAGGATATGTGACTTCAGCTTCTTCCGGGTCACATGGGCGCAGTGCGATGGCAATATGGCGGCTCGTTTAGTTGGAACAACTTCTCTTCGATGTTTCCATCTCACAGCTTCGTGTTGTCAAGGGAAAGCAGTAAATGCATTAAGGAGTAATGCAGGATAAGTATACAAATATAAAAAAATATCTAGATTTTACTAGATTTGTTGAACAGGGCTGCATCCCATGGTTGTTCCAGGATCTGATTATATGAACCCAGTTTTACAGTATATATTATCCTCGTTATATCACATAATGCTTGATTTCTTCCAGATTAAATATTTACCTTGACTTGCAAGAAAAAAATGTTTTTGTCTACATGGTCCATGTTAGGTTTTAATTTACAATAACTGTGAATATTTTGAAACAGCTCTTTTTTTCTCAGTCTCATATTCAGCTGAGTAAGCAATAATTACATGAATCCTGATGTATCAACATGCAGTTCACTTATTGTTTCCAGGCGATGCCTGACGAACTGTGTGGCACCGGCACCAACCCTGGCATCCAGGCTGACTCCTCTTATCTGGCCATTGAACAGGAGCCATTCTTCCCTGAGTCAGGGTCCTCCTTTAGCAAACACATCACTGCCGTTGTCGGAACTCAGGACAATGACCAGCAGTATGTCATCATTGGCACTAAAGATGGCTCACTGCATAAGGTTAGTCTGGTGTTAGTGTGTGTTAGTGTGTGTGTGTTAGTGTGTTAGTGTTGTGTGTGTGTTGTGTGTGTGTGTGTGTGTGTGTGTGTGTGAGAGTGAGAGAGAGAGAGAGAGAGAGAGAGAGAGAGAGAGAGAGAGAGAGAGAGAGAGAGAGAGAGAGAGAGAGAGAGAGAGAGAGAGAGAGAGAGAGAGAGAGAGAGAGAGAGAGAGAGAGAGAGAGAGAGAGAGAGATGAGGTTGTAGATGAGGGTTGGCCTCACGCGGATTTTATTTCAAATTGTTCAATTGTGAATCGTCGAAATCCATTGACAAACCCTCAACTCAATGACAAAATATTGAGTTTTCAGCTGAACATAGATGTTCCTGTTGTTATCCCTGAAATATAAACATTTTCATTTTCACAGGTGATTACAAAGACTGGCGCTCGGAATTACATGACTTTCACTCTGCCTGACCCTAAGCCAATTGAAAGAGACATGGTGCTGGTGGAGGAGACACGGTCGCTGTATTATCTCACTGGAAACAAGGTATGTTGGTCTCGCCACAACAGATAATTGTATTGAACCACACAAAGCTGTCTGTATTATCTCACTGGAAACAAGGTATGTTGGTCTCGCCACAACAGATAATTGTATTGAACCACACAAAGATGTCTGTATTATCTCACTGGAAACAAGGTATGTTGGTCTTTGTATTGAACCACAACAGATAATTGTATTGAACCACACAAAGATGTCTGTATTATCTCACTGGAAACAAGGTATGTTGGTCTCGCCACAACAGATAATTGTATTGAACCACACAAAGATGTCTGTATTATCTCACTGGAAACAAGGTATGTTGTTCTCATCACAACAGATAATTGTATTGAACCACACAAAGCTGTCTGTATTATCTCACTGGAAACAAGGTATGTTGTTCTCGTCACAACAGATAATTGTATTGAACCACACAAAGATGTCTGTATTATCTCACTGGAAACAAAGTATGTTGGTCTCGCCACAACAGATAATTGTATTGAACCACACAAAGATGTCTGTATTATCTCACTGGAAACAAGGTATGTTGGTCTCGCCACAACAGATAATTGTATTGAACCACACAAAGATGTCTGTATTATCTCACTGGAAACAAGGTATGTTGTTCTCATCACAAGAGATAATTGTATTGAACCACACAAAGACAATACAAATACTAGAGCAGGTAACTCTTATAAGTTGTGTCGGTAAACTGTTTGAGAGAGTTGTATTCAAGCATATATCTAACTAATTCAATGAGAACAAGTTATTGTACAATTACCAAGCTGCTTTTCGAGTTGGGAGTTCACCTGTCCAATTAAATGAAATATATCATCAAATATGCCAAGCTCTAGATGATAAGGATATAACTCAGCTCCACTGTACTTTTCTTACGGTATTAGAAAATTTAACATATTACATACTCAACTACGTCATGAAGCTAGTAGATTAAGTTACGATTTGTACAGAGTAGGGCTAATCACTGATCCACCCTGCGCATGTGGAAACCCGTGCGAAAATGCTCATCTCTATTTCTTAGAATGCTCTTTATACAATCAACATAGAAAGATAATGCTTAAAGCTATGCAAGATGTATGAGGTAGTAATTCTGTGATTACATTATCTGTTATTTTAAACGGCATTGCAGATCTGACAAATCATAAAAATGAAATTATATTAAGAAATGTACACCAATATATATGCAAATCTAAACGATTCAAGTAGTCTTCTCTCTATACACCTTTTGTATTATAACATTTCCCCCTGTTATCTTTCAGTCTTTCTCTGTCTATGTTTCTAATAACTGCTTGTGATGTAATTAGTTATTGTAAATATCTTGGAGAGGGGTTTTATAAGTTGAAAGAACTTGTCCCCGATCCTTTTCACATTGTGAATAAAATATGTTTAAACTAAAAAAACTACTATAGCTGCACTGGTGCAACCTGACAATACAAGTTACCTGCTATAGTAATAATTTACCTTCACTGGTGCAACCTGACAATACAAGTTACCTTCACTGGTGCAACCTGACAATACAAGTTACCTGCTCTAGTAATAATTTACCTTCACTGGTGCAACCTGACAATACAAGTTACCTGCTCTAGTAATAATTTACCTGCACTGGTGCAACCTGACAATACAAGCTACCTGCTCTAGTAATAATTTACCTTCACTGGTGCAACCTGACAATACAAGTTACCTGCTCTAGTAATAATTTACCTGCACTGGTGCAACCTGACAATACAAGTTACCTGCTCTAGTAATACTCTGCACTGGTGCAACCTGACCAGTTCCAAGTTACTACCTTCACTGGTGCAACCTGACAATACAAGCTACCTACCTGCTCTAGTAATAATTTACCTGCACTGGTGCAACCTGACAATACAAGCTACCTGCTATAGTAATAATTTACCTGCACTGGTGCAACCTGACAATACAAGTTACCTGCTCTAGTAATAATTTACCTTCACTGGTGCAACCTGACAATACAAGTTACCTGCTCTAGTAATAATTTACCTGCACTGGTGCAACCTGACAATACAAGTTACCTGCTCTAGTAATAATTTACCTGCACTGGTGCAACCTGACAATACAAGTTACCTGCTCTAGTAATAATTTACCTGCACTGGTGCAACCTGACAATACAAGTTACCTGCTCTAGTAATAATTTACCTGCACTGGTGCAACCTGACAATACAAGTTACCTGCTCTAGTAATAATTTACCTGCACTGGCAACTGGTGCAACCTGACAATACAAGTTACCTGCTCTAGTAATAATTTACCTGCACTGGTGCAACCTGACAATACAAGTTACCTGCTCTAGTAATAATTTACTTACACTGGTGCAACCTGACAATACAAGTTACCTGCTCTAGTAATAATTTCTCTGCACTGGGTGCATCCTGGATTTAACAAAATTGATTCCTAAGGATTGACAGGTTTGAACCCCAGACTACTGCTGACAGTCCTTGACCCTATCCTGTTACCTAAAGCTCAAAGTATGTATGATTTGCATCACGGTCCTCAATCCACTTGCTCACATGATTACTGTTCTTCTCACTGTGGCTCTTGATAGTTTTCAGATTAGGGACCGTTCATAATTTACTGCTAGGGGTGGGGTGGGGGTGGGGGTGGGGGTGGGGGTGGGTGGGGTGATGATGATTTTATGGAGAAGCATGTACAATGTGAATGACCCCCCTAAACTGTATGTACATAGCAAGTGACACACACATACACACACACCCCATGTCATGTACAAAATCAGTGACCTGCCTTCCCTTCCCATAATTTTAAGCATAAAATTATAATAATATTTATGTACAAAATTGCTGAAACGAGTAAAACCCAGGCCCCTCCCCTTTCTCTCTCTTTCTTTCTTCTCTTCTTTCCCCCCCCCCCAAAAAGAAAAAAGAAAGTAAAACAAATAAAAAATAAAAAATAAAACATGGTCCCTTATCTAAGTCACATTACATTTTGCAATTGATGATTAAGTGTGGTATTGTCCCCTTTGATTTGTGGCAGTGTACATGGTGTATGCCCTATCAATGGAACCTCCTATTGAGCCTACTAATGGAGACTCTTAATGAGCCTATCAATGGAGCCTCCGGAAGAGCCTGCTAAAAGAGCTTTGTGATCAGCCAATCAATGGATACCTACTAAAAGAGCCTTGTGAAGAGCCAATCAATGGAGCCTCCTGATGAACCTGCTAAAAGAGCCTTGTGATGAGCCTATCAATGGAGCCTCCGGATGAGCCTGCTAAAAGAGCCTTGTGATGAGTAGGGCTTCAACGAGTCCATTTTTTTGGACTCGAGTACTCGAGGGGTGAGACTCGACTCGGACCCGAGTACTCGAAATTCATACCTTTCAAACAAACGATAGCGTAACCGGCATGACATGTGTTCCGATCACACAAGTGAACACTTACTTCTTTCCGTCTACATATCGTCATGTGACTAACATTTCCTGTTGGTCAGAATAAGTATTTGGATGTTTACTTGACAAATGTTTTTTTTCTTCGTACTTCTTGTACTGCCTGCAAAACGCAGTGAGATACCGCACAGGCGGCATTTGGTTATTTTGCTCTTTTCACTATCCAGATCAGGATACGCCCATACATTTGATTTTTTATCTTTCTCCATGTCTATCAGTTGTCAAGATAGTTACCTAATCATTTTAAGAAGTGAAATCTCAAACGATGTATAATATTTACTCTCATCTGCAGACTTGTAACAACTAATACCATACAGCCACACCGTGTGAGAAGTAAACTATTTAATCTAGGTGTTAATAAAAACATTATCATATGGGTTAAAGTATTCAGGGTACATAGAACTCAGTATGTCAGTGTCAAAGGCTATCAATCTTCTTTGCTCTCAACCTCTACTGGAGATCCAAATGGCTGTGTTCCTTCATCCGTACTCTTCGTTTTGTATACCAATGACTGTAACTTGTCAATATATGACTTGTTACTGTGAAATTTGCAGATGACGCCACTGTTACTGGCCTATTTTCTGATTCTGAACATTATTATCGTCAAGGCATTGACAAAGCCGTAATGACAGTTTTTTTTTTTCAAACCTTTATTCAAAGTGTGTTGACCTACAATTTTCTATGCTGGTATGGGGATCTGTCTCATCGCAACAAAAACTTTTCAAAATTGTTAATACTGCTGGCAAAGTTTCTGGAGTGTCTTTCGAGTATACTCCCTTTATCTATGAGCGCCAGATTGTCAAAAAGGCAGCTAAAATTAGATTTGATAGTTGATATATTTGATCTCACCATTTTGAACTACTTCCTTCTGGACGCTGCTGTCGCGATTACCTTCCCTCAAAACAAACAGAGCTCGACAGTCTTTCACACCATTAAGTATTCGTGAATGCAACAAATATTTTGAATCACCATCATGTGATTAGAACTAGAATTATTCAGCCTCTTTACCTATGTGGTTAATTGAATTATATCATGTCAGTTTTATTTGTAAATAACATTCGTTTTGAGCATGTAATTATTGTGTATATTTTTGTGAACTGTGTATATATTCATTTTGAGACAGTTTGGATGTATAAGAATTTCCTCCGGGATAATAAAGTTATATCTTTTTCTTAATATTAGACGTTAAGGGCAGGTCATGCTTAGCACATGGCAGACAGTCTGTCAACGTCAAATAATCCGAGTTATCTCCTTTCGAAAGTCCTCGAGTCCTTGAAAATGGACTCGAGTCCAGCTAGACCCGACTCGTCCTCGAGTACTCGGGTACCCGTGGAAGCCCTAGTGATGAGCCTATCAATGGAAACCTACTAATGGAGTCTTCTAATGAGCCTGCCAAAAGAGCCTTGTGAAGAGCCTATCAATGGAGCCTCCGGAAGAGCCTGCTAAAAGAGCCTTGTGATGAGCCTATCAATGGAGCCTCCGGAAGAGCCTGCTAAAAGAGCCTTGTGATGAGCCTATCAATGGAGCCTCCTGATGAGCCTGCTAAAAGAGCCTTGTGATGAGCCTATCAATGGAGTCCTCAAGTGAACTTATTTGTTGGGAGGTGGTTCAAGTCACGAATTAAAAGTTCATTCGACCCAAACAATATAGATCAGTGCTCATCAGCTCAACTGGTTTGTACTGCACAGACTGAACTCTGTACAAAGATAACTTGAAATGCCTGGAAAATTGCTGAAGTTGATGTAATGCAATATTCCCTCACTGACACCTGTGTTGAGAATGTTTTATATGTTTCTAGTGGTTTAAATGTGGACCTTCTCTGATGATTCATCTTTCAGGCGTAAAACAGGGGAATATGGGGCATGTCCATCAGTCTACCTTTCCAGACCCAGACTTGTAAACCAGCTGAATATTTCTTCTTGGAACTTGCTTTACAGATCAATGTAGTGGTGAAACATACTCTGGGTTGTTTGTTTAGACCGTACTTCCAATGCTGGCTGACTTATGCTGTCTAAAGAGGTGATTTGTGGGATCGGGTGGTCAGGCTCGCTGACTTATGCTTGTCTAAAGAGGTGATTTGTGGGATCGGGTGGTCAGGCTCTCTGACTTATGCTGTCTAAAGAGGTGATTTGTGGGATTGGTCAGGCTCTCTGTATGCTGTCTAAAGAGGTGATTTGTGGGATCGGGTGGTCAGGCTCTCTGACTTATGCTTGTCTAAAGAGGTGATTTGTGGGATCGGGTGGTCAGGCTCTCTGACTTATGCTGTCTAAAGAGGTGATTTGTGGGATCGGGTGGTCAGGCTCGCTGACTTATGCTGTCTAAAGAGGTGATTTGTGTGGGATCGGGTGGTCAGGCTGGCTGACTTATGCTTGTCTAAAGAGGTGATTTGTGGGATCGGGTGGTCAGGCTCTCTGACTTATGCTTGTCTAAAGAGGGATTTGTGGGATCGGGTGGTCAGGCTCTCTGACTTATGCTGTCTAAAGAGGTGATTTGTGGGATCGGGTGGTCAGGCTCTCTGACTTATGCTTGTCTAAAGAGGGATTTGTGGGATCGGGTGGTCAGGCTGGCTGACTTATGCTTGTCTAAAGAGGTGATTTGTGGGATCGGGTGGTCAGGCTCTCTGACTTATGCTGTCTAAAGAGGTGATTTGTGGGATCGGGTGGTCAGGCTCGCTGACTTATGCTGTCTAAAGAGGTGATTTGTGGGATCGGGTGGTCAGGCTCGCTGACTTATGCTGTCTAAAGAGGTGATATGTGGGATCGGGTGGTCAGCTGAGTTATGCTGTCTAAAGAGGTGATTTGTGGGATCGGGTGGTCAGGCTCGCTGACTTATGCTGTCTAAAGAGGTGATTTGTGGGATCGGGTGGTCAGGCTCACTGACTTAGTTGATGTATGTTATCGTATCCCAATTGCGTATATCGATGCTCATGATGTTGATCACTGGAGTGTCTGATCCAGACTGGACTACAAACAGACCACTGCCATAAACCTGGAATATTGCTGAGTGCAGTGTTAAAACAATAAGCAAGATCAAATTTTAATGCATAGACATCATTTATCAAGTTGGTACATATATCTTATGACAGGTTGTACGGTTCCCTGTTGACTCTTGTCGTGTGCACAAAGACTGTGACCAGTGCCTCGTCAGCAGGGATCCGATTGGCTGCGGCTGGTGCGTTGATGCCTGTACCACCATGAGTGAATGCAGCAGAACCTCAGACTGGAAACGAGCCGAGTGCCCGCCTTCCGTGTATCAGGTGGGTCGCAATTCCCTTGGCTTTGCTGACTACTGTAAATATGATGTTTATAACCAACACACTCTTGGCAAACTGATATCAGAACTGTGGTTTTGGCCCTGGCCACTTGGTGTATATGTTAGTGGAATTATGTATAAGGAAGTACAGTTAGTGGAAATGTGTATAATGAAGTACAGTTAGTGGAATTATGTATAAGGAAGTACAGTTAGTGGAAATGTGTATAATGAAGTACAGTTAGTGAAAAATATGTAAAAGGAAGTACAGTTATTGAAAAATATGTAAAAGGAAGTACAGTTAGTGGTAATATGTATAAGGAAGTACAGTTAGTGGAAATATGTAAAAGGAAGTACAGTTAGTGGAAATATGTAAAAGGAAGTACAGTTAGTGGAAATGTGTATAAGGAACTACAGTTAGTGGAAATATGTAAAAGGAAGTACAGTTAGTTGAAATATGTAAAAGGAAGTACAGTTAGTGGAAATGTGTATAAGGAAGTACAGTTAGTTGAAATATGTAAAAGGAAGTACAGTTAGTGGAAATATGTAAAAGGAAGTACAGTTAGTTGAAATATGTAAAAGGAAGTACAGTTAGTTGAAATATGTATAAGGAAGTACAGTTAGTGGAAATGTGTATAAGGAACTACAGGTAGTGGAAATCTCTTAGACAGTCTGTCACATGTCCCGCTGTACTGTATACATTGCAGGTATCACCGGTTTACTGTTGATGTAGACATCTGTCTTGTATCTGTAGAGGTGGTTATCGTTACTGTCCGGATTCCCTGTGATATTGTGCCAAGCGGAGTCAAACCTAACACCCTCACTTTTAGACAGCTATTCATATGTCCAGCTGTACTGTATACATTGCAGATATCCCCCGTGTCAGGCCCGACTGCCGGGGGGACCAAACTCACCATCACGGGGAAGAACCTCGGGGGGATGAGAAGCAGTGTTTCTCATACCATCAAGATATCCGATGTTGAGTGTGATGTACAGAAAGGGTGGTCACCAGAAAGGTAAGTCACTAGTGCGTGGATATGTGCGCTATAAAAATATCCAATAATAATAATAATACATAATAAAATAATAATAAGTCAGATGTCAGAAGTCTGTCAACGTTCAAGCTGATTGCAAAGGTCAAGGTCATTGTGTTAGCAATTGCTTAATACTTAACCCTCGTTTAACGCTGCACTGTGTAACATTGCAATTATATGAAGGCATATGTCAGCTATGAGCCAAGATTTATGTGGCCTACACTCTCATTCTTTTTCAGAGATCGTCCTTGGGGTACATATTATGCATTTTCCGGCTGAAAAATGTCCAGTGACAGTTGTATCAATGTTTTTTGAATAAAAAGATTGAACAATAAATAAACTCTTTTATTTATTATACGGCCCCTACCTCACGGAGTTACCTCCCGTTGAGCATGCGCACCAACTGGGTAGGCTCCTAGACCCGTATCATCATTCCTTCTGCTGTCACTGCCATGAACAGACGTTAGAGAATTCATGAGCCGTACAGTGCTGAACTTTCTTCAAAAGAAAACGACTATGTCTGAGACACCACCTGTATGTATGGTCTTTATTTGCCTATGAAAGGAACAGTAAAGCTTTACAGTTGGTTGTTTCATAATTGTGACTTTGTATTATATTATATTACGCGAACTTTCCGTGGTTTACGCGCGTGTTGCTCTGCCATGGCGGGAAGTTTAGCGTGCCATGTGGTCGTAATATTGCGTATTGAACCAACTATTACTTTCCGTGGTAGTAGCCTGCGTATTTTTCAATGTTTTCTACGTGTATATATGCTGCTGGTCCGCCGTTAGCTACATGCTTGCGTGTTTGCTTTCAGGCCTTTTCATCCTGTTCGGTCTGTGGACAGAGCATTCCACGAGCCGACAGGCATGACCAGTCGTCGCCTGTCTAGAAAAGACTGGCCATGACGCGGACACATGTACCATATGTCTTGGGTTTTCCCCCCGGGCCCAAAAGCGGAGGGCTGCGGACACGCTATTTTACAAAGAGATGCGTGAGGCGGGTGGGGAACTGACGCAGGTCCCCCCGTCTAAGACTAAGAGACAGTCACGTAAGGGAAAAAAATCCCGAAGCCAAACCCCTCTCCCGCTAGTACTGGTGGTTTTGATATGACACTAATGGACAAATTGTTTCAGCAGCATATGGACTCTGTGAAGTCCCTCGTTCGTGAGTCTGTTGGAGGTCTCCGCCAGGAGTTCCTCGCTCACTCCGGACGAGGGGCGGAGAGTCAGGGGGTGGGATCGCCGGGCTCGGCTCGATCCCTCAGCCTTGAGGCGTCTGTAGACCCGTTGCCTCTGGCTTCGGGTCCGGACGCCTCGGCTGCCCCGGAGGGGGAGGTGCTCCCAGTCCCCCTCTCGGAGTTGGCGCAGGGACCGTTGAGTATTCCTGGTGTTCCGGTCCCTGCGCACTCCCGCCCCATGAGAGCGGAGGCACCAGTTCTGCCTGGTCTGCCTCCAGCGTCTCGGGACCGGGTCGATGCTGCGCTTCCAGGCGCCCGGCGTGGGAGCTCTGTCTGCTCTTCCCTCTCTGTGCTTCCTGGCGCTAGGCCGCCCACCGGGTCGGGGTTAGGAGTCCTCTTCGAGGAGGAGACCCAGCCTCTGACTTCGGGCTCGGGCGGCCGAGTCAATGGAGCTTGGGGAGGTAGAGGAGCATGACGGAGGTTTCGTTTTGCCGGCTCTGCGGGGAGGTCCGGCAAAGAATTGCCGAGGGCCTACCCCAAGCCGCGGTGCCTGTTGGCGCTCGGACTCGGCTGAGTTCCGCTTGCCAGGCGGCGTTTGCCCCTCGGCAGCCCTCGCGCAGCGCAGCTCCGCATTCTGCCTTCGCGTTGGTTCAGGGCGTGGGTGAACCCTCTCTTGTCTGGTACCCGCGTTCGGTTCGACTTGCGGACTTGAATGCGGAGGTACCAGCTGGGGAGGACTCCATGTTCGTTGTTCCCATCGTTGGCGAAGTGCGTGTTCACTTCCGTCGCCCTGGGGAGGCTCGGCTTCCTCGGAGCAGCTCCGGCTGCTCGGCAAAGTGCCTCACTCCACCGTTGCCCTGGCGCGGGCGCCCCTGCAGCACACGTACTGGACCTACGAGGAGGTCTACCGGAACGCGATGCAGCAGGTCAGGGTGGTGGTCCATGAGGCCTACCTCTCCTCGATTCAGAGGTCAGCCCTGGAGGCGGAGGGGCATGCTGGCGACGTTTAGCGCGCATGTCGTGCTGCTCCGTGAGCTCTCTCGAAGTGCAGGCACACCTCGCGTAGCGACTCTTTGCGGTCTGCTGCATCGGCGGTGATGTGCGCAGTCATGGGGATCTCGCAGGCTGTGGCTGTCAGCGTCGGTACCGGCAGCAGCGGCGCGCAGCAGACCTTGCTGGCCCTCCCTTTCGCCTGGGGGCGACCCTCTTTCCAGGGGCACAGCAGGTCATCAGGGAGGCTGCAGCTGCAGCGACCTCCTTCAAGGACTCTAAGGCCTTGTTGGAGCATCCGCAGGTGTCGCCCCGCGCCCGTTCCACCTTCCTCCGCCGGGTACAGCCTACACCCGAGTCTGCCGGCTGGCTTCGGCGCTTGGTAGGAGTAGGCGGAGGGAGCAGGTGCGCCAAGGGTAGGGGCAAGGAGCAGTCCTCGACTGGCTCCCAGCCTTTCCGCGCAGGCGGGAGGTCTGCCCGACCTCCCGTTAACCCATCAGGCTGCCGCTCAAGCCGTGTGTCACACCCAGTCAGCTCCGCTGCTCGGGACAACGCCGCGCGCTCCTACCCCATATCCCAGTGGGAGGCGCCTCTCTCTATTCCTGCGGAATGGGAGAAGGCTACCAACAATGCTTAGGTGCTGGCCACGGTCAGCATCGACCATTTACCACTGTGGGCGAGGTCCGCCCGACTTCACCGGCATACGCCCGCAATCCGGTGCCGTCATGTCAGGCAAGGGCGGACATATTGCGACGAAGTTCAGGCTCTGCTGGACAAGTCCGCCAATCGGCGCGCATTCCACCGGGAGAGGAACAGGCGGGATTTTACTCCGCGTGCTTCCCTCGTCGAAGAAAACGGCGGGTTCGGTCCCATTCTCAACCTCAAGGGGTTGAATCATGCTAGAAGTACCATCCTTCAAGATGGAGACACTGCGCTCTGGTGATCTCATCTGTTCAGCCCGGCGATTGGCTCCGTCAATCGACCTAAAGGATCGATATCTGCATGTGCCCATACATCCATCGTTCAAGCAGTACCTTCGGTTCTCTTTACGACGGGATGTGTTACCAATTCAGGGTGCTCCCCTTCGGCATATCGACTGCCCCAAGGGTGTTCACCAAGCTCATGTTAGTCCGGCTACCCTGGCTTCGCTGCGCAAAGGAAGGCGTTGTTACCCTTACCTCGACGACTGGTTGCTCGGAGCACTAACACAGCCAGCGAAGTCTAGATGCTACTCACACAGTGATAGACATTCTAACTTCGACTGGGGTGGATAATCAACCTCAAGAAATCCGACCTGGTACCCACCCAGGACTTGGTTTTTCTTGGGCCAGCGATTCAAGCGAACAAGGATCTCGTTTCCTTTGTCGCCCGACCGGATCACCAGAGTTAGGAGATGGTATCTTCGTTTCCTCTCAGCCCCAGGCACCAGCACGGACTTGGCTCCGTCTACTGGAGCCATATGGCGGCGATGATCTCTGTAGTGTGGCGGCGCGGTTGAGGATGCGCCCTATACAGCAAGCTTTGGCTCGGCTGTGGACTCACGGAGGATCTGGAGCGCAGTCTCAGAGTCCCCAGTGGTTGACACCTCACCTTCAGTGGTGGACAAATGTCGGGGAATCTCACCAGGGGATCCCCTTGGAAATCGACGCCAGCTCTCACAGTTCAGACCGATGCGTCCCTCACGGGCTGGGGGTGTTCTGGGCAGTCTGACGGCGCCCGGACTCTGGTCCGAAGCCGGCTTCCACCTTCACATCAGCGTGTTGGAACTGAGAGCTGTCGCGGTTGGTATTCAAGCGCTTCAGAGAGCATGTCCGTGGCCAGGTAGTCCGTCTTCAGTTGGACAACCAGGCGGCCATGTCGTACATCCCAGCAGGGAGGCACGGTGTCCCAGCAGCTCCTCCGGGAGGCGTGGGACTTTCTCCTCTGGTGCGATCAGTGCGACTGTCAGGTACTCCCTGTTTATCTCCGGGGCTGGAGAAGCGCGCGAGCAGATGCGCTCTCGCCGGATCCTGGCCCCCACGAGTGGATGCCCGACAGGCAGATTTTCAGAGTAATCTCCCAGTTATGCGGGTGTCGTCCAGGTGGATCTGTTTGCGTCCGGCGGGGCGCATCAGACATTTCCGTGTTCTGCTCTCGGATACGGACCCAGAGGCGTTGGCTGCCGGCGCCTTCCTGCTGGATTGGACGGGCAAAGTGCTCTGGGCGTTCCGCCGTTACCACTCATTCCCGTGTCCTTTCACAGCTGTCCACCCAGCCAGCTTCGGCTGCTTGTGCTACTGGCACCGCTTTGGCCCGTCACAGAGCTGGTTTCGGTAATTCTCAGGTTTCTGGCTCAGCCTCCTGTTCTATTACCTTTACGACCGGACATTCTCACTCAGAACGGGGCCCACCCAAATCCACGGATTCAGTGGGTGGCTTGGCCTCTGTCAGGTCTAACCTCGAGCACGCTGGAATTCCTGCAGCAGTTGCAGACACAATTCTGGCTTGCGGCGGGATTCGACAAGCGTTCAGTGCGCTCAGGCGAACGAGGATAGGTGGTCCCGCTATGTTTTCTGGTGGCGCGCTGGTGTTCAGATAGGGGCATTGCAGATCCCTTTTCCATGTGCGGATTTAGTCCACCGCGAGCACTCTCCCCGCGTGAAGACGCCTCAAAATTCTGTTGCACGGGTACCCACTGATGTTTATTCAGCAGAAGGAATGATTTGTGCCGCTTATCAGGCTGAGCCTCCCCTGAGGGGGTCACTAGGAGCCGCATACCCATCAGTTGAGCTTTGGCCGCTTCGGGTCTCTCCAGTGGACAGCACCCTGACCGAAAGTGAGTCTTGGTTTATTGGTTTGTTTTGACGCTGCTGTACAATAATTGAAGCTGGACTGTGAGTAACTACATGTACCCCTCCGATTCTCTCAGGAGGTAGGAGGTATTTACATTCCCTCACGGTGCTCATAATAAATGGTGGGTGGGGCTTTGTTGACAAAGAGTTTTTATTCTAAAAAACATTGATACAACTGTCACAGGACATTTTTTCAGATCGCCGGAAAATGCATAATATGAAAAAGAATTAACCAAACCTGAAGAGGTTTTCACTGACTCCCCAAGCAATTCTGTTCACTGATTTCAAAGAATTGAAAACCTCTTCAGGTTTGGTTAAGTTGTTTGCCACAGTGGCTCAGTGGGCTGACCTTGTCTTATCATATTCCTTGTATGTACTCTAAATGTTGTTCAACTATTTTTAGGTTTGTATGCATCACAAGGGCTACTAAGAATGAAATTGGCAGCATTGTTCGAGTGGAGGTCGAAGACATATATACAGATGCTGAGAGGCCATACTCTGTCTCTGGAATAGCAGAATCGAAACAGCAATTTACATTCAAGGTACAAGTGTGCAACTTAAGTGGAATTGTTAACCAGAATCTTCCCTGACACGACATGACCTATTGAGCTGAAACTTTACATGAATGATTCTGTGGCCTATGCGTCTCTAAAAAAGTGCTTCGGACCTAAGATCTGATGAACAAAATGGCTGCCATATATATACTCTTAAAAAAAATGTACGGATAATTTGGATAAGACAGATATCTTATGAACGCACCACCATTTCTCTATATCACCAGCTCTAAACACAAGGCATGGAATGCACGTGCACAACGCAGTAGCCCCATACGCGTGCATGTGGTGTCATTCTTAATTTTGACGGTTTTCAAGAAGGCCGATAAATCACTGTAGAAAATAATTTTCACAATCATCTTGCATCACAGAGTTAGTGTTTTGTTCTAGCTGTTTTTTGTTGTTGTTGAAAATATAAATTGTTCACATGCAAATTTCATTTCAGCGATTACTGTACAAACAACTATGGTCATAAGGAACTACAAGTGCATTTCATCATAATTCAGACGAGCTACAGAACTAAGTGACACTATTTTGACCCTGGACTATACTGTGACAATACCAGACTTGGTGCTGATACATGAATTAGGTCATATGCTATGACATTGCTATGGTAATGTTGGCAGATTGTAAAAACAGCCAAACTATTGCGACAGCTTAGCCAATCAGCATAAAGTGAAAATGAATAATATCCTTGTTGAGATTTACTGACATATTTTTCACTCCGTCCGTGCCTCTATTACTTATTTCATCATTTTTGTCACTTTTAGCACTGTAATTGTAATGTACCTACCTTCTGTTCCCAGAATGTGTCACTAGCATCCTTCAGCCCCAAACATGGCCCGATATCTGGCGGGACCAACATCACCATCAAGGGAGATAACCTTAATGTTGGCAGAGAACACAGCGTCACAGTGGCCTACAACTTTAGCTGTGACATTTTTAGGTAGGTAGCCAGTTCTGACTGTCTGTCCACTGTGTGCTCCAGACATAGTCCTCAGGTAGCCAGTTCTGACTGTCTGTCCACTGTGTGCTCCAGATATAGTCCTCATGCAGCCAGTTCTGACTGTCTGTCCACTGTGTTCTCCAGACATGTCTGTCCTCAGGTAGCCAGTTTTGACTGTCTGTCCACTGTGTGCTCCAGCCATAGTCCCCTCAGGTAGCCAGTTCTGACTGTCTGTCCAATAGTGTGCTCCAGACAGTCCACTGTCTGGTTGCCTGTGTGTTCTGACTGTCTGTCCACTGTGTGCTCCAGACATAGTCCTCAGGTAATTAGTTCTGACTGTCTGTCCACTGTGTGCTCCAGACGTAGTCCCTCAGGTAGCCAGTTCTGACTGTCTGTCCACTGTGTGCTCCAGACATAGTCCTCAGGTAGCCACTGTGTGTAGACATTTGACTGTCTGTCCACTGTGTGCTCCAGACATAGTCCTCAGTTCTGTAGTCCCATGTGCCCTGAGCCTCAGGTCTGTCCACTGTGTGCTCCAGACAGTCCCTCAAGCCAGTGTAAGTTCTGACTGTCTGTCCACTGAATGTGCTCCAGACATAGTCCTGTGAAATGTAGCCAGTTCTGACTGTCTGTCCACTGTGTGCTCCAGACATGAAGTCCTCATGTAGCCAGTTCTGACTGTCTGTCCACTAGTATGCTCCAGCATGCACAGTAAATAGAAATGGTATGTGTGAAATAGTATGAATGTTGGAACCAGTGGTGACTGTCTGTCCACTGTGTGAAATAGTATGAATAGCCCTGGAAGCATGGTAAATATTGAAATGGCAGTAAAATTGTGGCATGTGTGAAATAGTATGAATGTGCCCTGGAAATCTTCACTACCATGGCATGTGGGATTATGAATACAGTGCTTATTGTGAAATAGGTATGAATTGTATGGTGTGTGTGAAATAGTATGAATGTGCCCTGGAAGCATGGTAAATATTGAAATGGCATGTGTGAAATAGTATGAATGTGCCCTGGAAGCCTGGTAAATATTGAAATGGTATGTGTGAAATAGTATGAATGTGCCCTGTAAAAGAAATGGTATGTGTAAATATTGAAATGGTAAATGTGAAATAGTATGAATGTGCCCTGGAAGCATTGTAAAAGAAATTGTGAAATAGTATGAATGCCCTGAAAGCCTGGTAAATATTGAAATGGTGTGTGTGAAGTAGTATAAATGTGCCCCATTAAAAAAGTGTATATCAGTGGTACTCTAAATCTCACAGCTTAACATGGACGTGGCCATTTTGCATCCAAAGTGCACATGACAGGAAATCGTGTTTCAGATGCTAACATGAGGCCGAACCATTTTTCCAAAGTGCCTGTTATGAGTTTGCCGAACTTGCAGCTGAAACAAATAAAAAAATAGCGACAAGATATTTTTATGGATGACAACTTCTTTATTGTCTGAGGTTGCCATCCACAAAGTAACTTGAAGAATGTACTCATGTATATATTCTCTCAATTTGTTACTCTTGTATCACTTGCTTGACAACGACATTAGAATCTACGTCGAAACGTCGCCTCCACAGAATAAAAGAAGTTGTATATCAATCCATAATAATTGTCATCATTCTTCATCAACTCAACTTCTAAAATGCCCATCAAGGAAGAAACACCAAGTAACTTGTCTTTATTGTTACTCAGTAACTTCTAAAATGCCAGTCGAACAGATGAAATCAACAAATAGTGACACCCAAACTGTAGACTTGAAAATCCATAATATTTTATTGGGTGATGTCAGTTTGATTGAATGAGGGGGTATTGTTCAGGCACTGCCATTCATTGTACAGGGTTGCCTCCCTTTGTCACACCAGAAACCTGTGATCTCAGGTTCACGTCCCAGTTTGCTGGGACTATGTTTCTAGAATTGTCAGCGATGCCTTGTTATAACCATAGACGCTAATAGTTTACTGTAGGGCTGGCTAAAATAAAAAAAATAAAAGTTTTCTAACACAATGTACTTAAAGACTTTATTCATAGTCTACTTCGAAAATTATGTTCAGGACGCTGTGTTGTTAATATTCCTTGCAAAAACATGTCTCCATTCACCAGTGATGTGAAATATATTTGTTTGTTGTAGACATTTTTTTCATTTTGCTCAAAGTTATATCTCCGATGTTTATCAATAATCGTGAACTAAATATCGATTGATTATCTGCATGATCTGTATTGATAGCTAGCCCTTGTTTACTGTATTTCTGTAATCAATGAAACTATTTGCTCATCTCCTACAAGCATGACAAGATAGCTGTTGATTTAATGTTTGTTTGTTTGTTTGTTGTTTAATGCGACGCTCAGCAATATTCCAGCTATATGGCAGCGGTCTGTACATAATCGAGTCTGGAACAGACTATCCAGTGATCAACAGCATGAGCATCGATCTACACAATTGGTATATGATGACATATGTCAACCAAGTTAGTGTACCTGACCACCCGATCCCGTTAACCGCCTCTTACAACAATCATGGGTTGCTGAAGACGGATTCTCACCTAGATCTTCATGGGTTGTTGATTTAATGAATTGGTATGACATCACCTGTTGCAGCTTGACAAGTAAGGAGATCAAGTGTATGACAGCCAAGTGGTCTGAGGTCACAGGGTTAATCTCGCGTGAGAGGAGGTCAGCCGATGAACCTCGAGGTCAGGGACCTTTGAAGGTGAAAGTGGATGGAACATCTTTTACAGACAATAAAAGCAACTTCCTTTACCTGCCGGATCCTATCATAACAGACATAAAGCCTGCAAGAGCTTTTGTAAGGTAAATCCTGATTGGTTGGTATTGTTTTGGGTAGCGTCTGGGAATTAAAGGTCGGAGTCGGTTCTAGCAGGGATGGAGTACTTGCGAATGGGAGGTAACTCTCATGGTTTTAGTTACTGTTGAACAAGTATTGACTCAATATTTTACAAAAAAATTTAACCTGCATTGTTAGAAGTGGTATTTTACCTTGATATTTTGACACATGAGATCTCTACTACTACTAGCATTACCAAATAGCTTGGATAACTTATACAAATTTCTTTTCAGTCTTGTAATTGAATTGCATGACTATTCTATCAATCCAAGAAATTGACTAGAAATTAGATACACAACATCAAAAAACATCTAAAGTTTCTCATGGTATAATGATTACAAGTGGACGGTGATTATGTTTAATGCATTACTTTATATATAGTCAACGCCTCGTCCGTCTGTCGGTCTGTCCGTAATCATTTTGTTTCCAGAGCATAACTAAAAAACCGTTCAATATTTTTCAACAAAAATTGGTAGATATATCAAACAGAACCTAAAGTGGTGCCTTTTGCTATTTACAGATTTTTGTCCTTTATATTTTTCACGGTTTCCATGGAAACGATTCGGACTTAGTCCCAAAAGGGAGGGGTGGGCTTCATTTCTGGAGTATAACTCAAGAACCGTTCAATATTTTTCAACAAGACTTGGTAGATATATCAAACAGAACCTTAAGTCTTAAGTCTTGAAATACATTTTTTTTTCCTAGGATGGATCGGGTCAAGGATAATTCTGGAGACATATTGTTTTTGGTTGAGCAAAATTCTAAAACTTACTGATCCATCTTCACCAAATTTGCTATACTGCCTCTCCATATCATGTAGATGTGCCTTTTGGGGGGTTGAACTTTTCTTTGAGTTTTATTATCCCCGGCAACGTGTTTTGCGGGGGGTATTACAATGGACTGCGTCTTTTCGTCCTTGCACATTTGTCTTTTCCGGAGCAGAACTCTAAAACCGTTCAAAATTTCTTCACCAAACTTGGCACATAGACTGGTCTGGTGGTTTACCGGTGCCTTTTGGTAGTTTTGGAATTCTGAATAAAATATTGTTGGCGTTTCCATGGCAACAAGTTTGACTTAGCCTGAAATTGGTGGTAGTGCTCTTTTCCGGAGCTGAACTCTAAAACCATTCACTATTTCTTCACCAAACTTGGCACATAGATTGGTCTGGTGGTGTACTGGTGCGTTTTGCTAGTTTTGGAATTCTGAATAAAATATTTTTGGCTTTTACGTGGCAACAAGTTTGACTGAAATAGGTGGTTGTGCTCTTTTTCAGAGCAGAAATGTAAAACGGTTCAAAATTTCTTCCCCAAACTTGGCACATAGATTGGTCTGGTGGTGTACTGGTGCCTTTTGGTAGTTTTGGAATTCTGAATAAAATATTGTTGGCGTTTCCATGGCAACAAGTTTGACTTAGCCTGAAATTAGTGTTAGTGCTCTTTTCCGGAGCAGAACTCTAAAACCGTTCAAAATTTCTTCACCAAACTTGGCACATAGACTGGTCTGGTGGTTTACCGGTGCCTTTTGGTAGGTTGGGAATTCTGAATAAAATATTGTTGGCGTTTCCATGGCAACAAGTTTGACTTAGCCTGAAATTGGTGGTAGTGCTCTTTTCCGGAGCTGAACTCTAAAACCATTCACTATTTCTTCACCAAACTTGGCACATAGATTGGTCTGGTGGTGTACTGGTTCCTTTTTGGTAGTTTTAGAATTCTGAATATACTATTGTTGGCGTTTCCATGGCAACAAGTTTGACATAAACTGAAACTGGTGATAGTGCTCCTTTCTGGAGCAGAAATTTAAAAACCTTTCAATACTCTCCTACCACTTTTCTATATACACACCTAAATATTTGACATAATCATAACTCGTAGACATAATCATGAAGAGTATTTTGCCATTGCGGGGGATATTGATGACTTTGTCTTCTTGTTTTTATCTGTTTCAATGGCAACAAATTTGAACTTGTTCTTTTTGAAGGGTAGGGTTTGTGTTCGGAACTTAACTCTAAAAGCACTTCACCCATCTTCACCAAATTTTGTATACTTAATACCAATTATTGGTAAGCTTAGAAGCATCAACTATATACATGTACTACTATAAAACACCATGAACTTTCTCTGTGTATTTTGCTGAACATACTTAGAGATTTTGAAATTGAAGGAATCAAATGAATTGTTTGAGGTCTCAACGTTGAATTGGGGGAAGGGGAGACATCTGTTTTTTCTAGTTCTTGGATGTGATTGCATTCATGGTCACTGCCACACCAACTGCTAAAACACTTAGTTCATGGTAGAGGCGAGGTGAGGTGAAATTGGGTTTTACGTGGTACTTGAGAATATTTCGCTCATATGACGACGTGCATGCGTGTGTATGTGCATGTGCAGCTGCTTGTACTAGCCCAGACTTAAGCTGGTTTTATAGTGCTAGCCCACTGAGATACCATGCCGCAGTGAAGCATGAATACCCCACTCAGACACATTATACAGACTCCGAGCCGACCAGTCCTTGTTGTATCCATTAATGCCGAGCGCCAGACAGAGACCAACAAGTACCATATTTTAACGTCTTTTGGTATGACGCGACCGGGGATCGAACCCGCGACCTTCCGCTTTCTGGGCGGACGCTCTAACCACTACACCACAGAGGCGGTCTTCATGGTAGAAGATGTGCATGTTTAGAAACAAGTTTGGTGGCAAAGTGGTATATTGTGTACATTGAAACATTACCATTGATTGAGTCAGACTATTATTGATTGAGTCCGACCTAAATTTACTTCAGGAAATCTGATATCAATCTTGAACACTGTTATGCTGTGGTCTGTTTCAGTGGGGGCCGGAAGATTACGGTGAAGGGGACCCACCTGGGATCTGTCGCACAACCTCGGATTGGTGGTATCGATAATAATGTTGTCATAGAGAAGTCAGAGGTGAGCAAAGTTCCAGACAGAATACTCTCTCATCAGGAACTCCCCGTTTCTAAACACTTTGAGATGACCTTCAACACTTCAACCCCCTAAACTCCTCCCAAACCCCTCAAAGTTTCCCCCCTCCTTCAGTAACACCCTGCACCCTCAAGACCGCCCCTCCTCTTTCCTCTCATAATTGCCTATCTCCTCAAACCCTTCCCTCCCTCTCAATAACAACCAATACCTTCAAATCTCATGATAGCTCCCCATAATGCCGTGTTGTGATCAACTAAGGTCCGAAAAAGTGTCAAAAAGTGAGCTCGACCAAATGTTGAATTGTGTGTTCATCCGGGACAGAAGTGGACTTTCTTCACATGAATGTAAATAATAGAGAAGGTACTGACAAACACTGATTTATAGCTAATTCTATCAGTATCCCAATGTCAGTATGTTTGTGTTGACATCACTTATCATGAGAATCAGTTGACTTGCTGTTGGATCAAATCAAAGCAACAGCTAAGTTAACCCCTATAATTTCTACACAGATTTGGGGCTGTGGGGTAGCCTAGTGGTTAAAGCATTTGCTTGTCACGCCAAAGACCCAGGTTCGATTCCCCACGTGGGTACAATGTGTGAAGCCCATTTGTGGTGTCCCCCGCTGTGATATTGCTGGAATATTGCTAATAGCAGCGTAAAACCAAACTCACTCACTCAACACAGATTGCATCAATAATGCATGATTTCTGTGTCAGTGCAGTCCCGTAAAATGCATGAATACATCTGTTCCAGGCGTGTGTAGTCGGTGAAGGAGGTAATTCCATGGTTTGCAATGCCTTAGATGTGTCAGAAACCCTCTCAACACCTCCGTCTGAAAAACTTCCAGTGGGGATACAAGTCTTCTTCATAATGGACGGAGTGAAGAGTCTTGGTGTTTCCTCATTCCCATACAAGCAGGCCCGGATCAGCAATTTTCAGTACTATCTTGATCCCAAATTTCACAAATTCAAAGGAGATGCCCACATATACTACTTCCCTGTCACAGATGAACATTTGCAGATTGAGGTAAGACTTGCTCGTCATTGTTTGAATATTTGCTATCAAATACAAAGTAATGGCCCCATGGAACTTACAGGTTGAAACAGGCCCCTGGAACCGTGGCTGATTGTAGAGGACAACTTGGTGGATCTGGTAGTCAGCTTGGTGACTTGATTGTCTGCTGGTGGATTGTTGTTCATATCAATCACTGGATTGTCTGGTCCAGAGTTGTTTACAGGTTGTAATTGTATAGTGGGATATTGATGAGTGGGACATTTTACATTTGATATATAGACTATATTAAATAATATCTGTTCTATTGGAAATGGTTTTATCTGTGCATCATTAAAAACTTTTTAGAGCTGAAGACACAAGTTTGTACTTTGTCAGTTCCAAGTTCGGAAAATGCCAGGCAAGGATGGCTCAGTCATATCTAAGTGCCACAATTTGCTGTACAAGGTGCAGTGGTAAACATCTGAGTCTGTCATCACTTCAGGCTTTCCCTCCACATTACATAAACTGATATCACTGGAATATTGCTCAGATAAAACCTAAATCCCTCACTCACTCTCATCAATATTAGTGTAATATTAGTTAAAATCTCATAATTGATGATTGGTTCATTACCAACAAGCAATCATCGAACAAAATTGGTTAGTGTCATTTTTATCCCTGGCATGTAATGTGGTGTGATATAGTCGACGCCTCGTCTATCTGTCCGTCCGTAATCATTTTGTTTCCCGAGCATAACTAAAAAACCGTTAAATATTTTTCAACAAGGCTTGGTAGATATATCAAACAGAACCTTAAGTGGTGCCTTTTGCTATTTGCAGATTTTTGGCATTTTTATTTATCCCGGTTTCCATGGAAACGATTCGGACTTAGCCCCAAAAGGGAGGGGTGGGCTTCGTTTCTGGAGCATAACTCAAGAACCGTTCAATATTTTTCAACAAAACTTGGTTGATATATCAAACAGAACCTTAAACGATTCGGACTTAGTCCCAAAAGGGAGGGGTGGGCTTCATTTCCGAAGCATAACTCAAGAACCATTCAGTATTTTTCAACAAAACTTGGTAGATATATCAAACAGATCCTAAAGTGGTGCCTTTTGCTATTTGGCAGAATTTGGCATATTTATTTTTCCCGATTTTCATGGAAACGATTCGGACTTAATCCCAAAAGGGAGGGGTGGGCTTCGTTTCCGGAGTATAACTCAAGAACCGTTCAATATTTTTCAACAAGACTTGGTAGATATATCAAACAGAACCTTAAGTGGTGCCATTTGCTATTTGCAGATTTTTGTCATTTTTATTTTTCTTGGTTTCCATGGAAACGATTCAGATTTAGTCTCAAAAGGGCGGGGTAGGTTTTGTTTCCGGAGCACAGCTCAAAAACTTCTTAATATCTTTCAGTAAAACTTGGCAGATATGTGAGGCAGATCTTGAAGTGGTGCCTTTTGCTATTTGCAGATATTTGTAATGTATTTTTTCCATGATTTCCATGGAACTATTTGCACTTAGTCTAAAATCAAGCTGGACTTTAAGTAACTGTCAGATGATTTGTTCTTTCAAAGATGTGGGGGCCGGGGGGATATGTCATCTTCTGATGACTCTTGTTATTTCTCTTGGTTTCCATGGAAACGTTTCGGACTTAGTCTCAAAAATGAGGGATTGGTTTCCTTTCCGGAGCACAACTCAAAAACCGTTCAATATTTTTCAACAAAACTTGGTAGATATAGCAAACAGAACCTAAAGTGGTGCCTTTTGCTGTTGGCAGAATTTTTTGAGTTTTATTTATCTTGGTTTCCATGGAAACAAGTTGAACTTAATCTCAAAAGGGAGAGATGGCCTTCGTTTCCGGAGCACAACTCGAAAACCGATCAATATTTTTCAGCAAAAATTGGTAGTTATATCAAACCGAACCTCAAGTGGTGCCTTTTGCTATTTGCAAATTTTTGGGCATTTATATTTTTTTGGTTTCCATGGAAACATTTTGGACTTAGTCTAAAAACGGAGGGATGGGCGTCGTTTCCAGAGCACAACTCAAAAACCGTTCAATATCTTTCAACAGAACTTTGCAGATATATGAGACAGATCTTGAAGTCGTGCCTTTTGGTATTTGCAGATTTTTGTCATTTTTATTTTTCTTGGTTTCCATGGAAACGAGATTAATTTAATCTCAAAAGGGAGGGGTGACCTTCGTTTCCGAAGCACAACTCGAAACCCGATCAATATCTTTCTTCAAGACTTGATAGATATATCAGACATAAGCTTACGTGTTGCCTTTTGTTATTTACAGATTTTTGACATTTATATTTTTCTTGGTTTCGCTACCATCGCATGCAATCGATTAAAACTTAATGTAAACATAGTCATCGATGATTGGCCTATCAAGCACCACTCATGACACCTACCAATACTTTATTCTTATTTCAGCAAGTCGATCGAAACCCAATTTTGACCCTCAACTAAACGATCTAGTCACAAAAGGATGACAAATAGGTCTGCTTAAAATGGAGGTGTGGTCGAAGCAAGCCCTCTGATTGGTCAATGCTTGTAAGCCTGTAAAAAGTTGCGGGTATTTTTAATTTCATCGCCTGCTTGACTTGAAAATGTAAAGAATTTGTATCCAGCAATGGCTTCTCAAAAGAAAAGCATCTGCTGCAAATATCTCCCAAACGACAACAGCAAAGAGGGGTCATTTTGCAAGGCCTCATACCACCAGGGTTGGTCCAGGATACCTTCAAACAAAACAATAACGTCAATGTATTGCCTTGTCCAGCTCGTTCTCCAGACATGAACCCAATTGAACATCTCTAGGATCACCTTGATCTGTGGGGCTTATGGAAAAGGATTCCTGCTGACGTAATTGCCGACTGAGAAGATGTGTATTAATGCCCAGTGTGGTGACACTTGCTATTGATGACGTGTCCCCTGACTTCTGTCTCATTATGTGACTCATTATGCTCTTTTTAAATAACTCTGATTTGTGTAAATTTTAATGTTAATCCCTTAATCTTTCTTAATAAATTGCAGATGTGAGACCCACATTACAATGAATCATCAATCAAATTTTTCCAAAATGATTTCTGTTTGTAAAATAATCTTAAACAATCTCGCATATGCCTTTGTTATCCTCCGCAACGCGTTTTGCGGGGGGTATTAAAATGGACTCCGTCCGTGCGTGCGTGCGTGCACATTTGTCTTTTCCGGAGCAGAACTCTAAAAGCGTTAACTATTTCTTCACCAAACTTGGCACATACATTGATCTGGTGGTGTACTGGTGCCTTTTGGCAGTTTTGGAATTCTGAATAAAATATTTTTGGCATTTCCATGGCAACAAGTTCGACTTAGACTGAAATTGGTGGTAGTGCTCTTTTCCGGAGCAGAACTCTCAAACCTTTCAATATTTCTTCACCAAACTTGGCACATAGATAGATCTAGTGGTGTACTGGTGCCTTTTTGTAGTTTTGGAATTCTGAATAAAATATTTTTGGCATTTCTATGGCAACAAGCTCGACTTAGACTGAAATTGGTGGTAGTGCTCTTTTCCGGAGCAGAACTCTCAAACCTTTCAATATTTCTTCACCAAACTTGGCACATAGATAGATCTGGTGGTGTACTGGTGCCTTTTTGTAGTTTTGGAATTCTGAATAAAATATTTTTGGCATTTCTATGGCAACAAGCTCGACTTAGACTGAAATTGGTGGTAGTGCTCTTTTCCGAAGCAAAACTCTCAAACCGTTAACTATTTCTTCACCAAACTTGGCACATAGATTGGTCTGGTGGTGTACTGGTGCCTTTTGGTAGTTTGGGAATTCTGAATAAAATATTTTTGGCATTTCTATGGCAACAAGCTCGACTTAGACTGAAATTGGTGGTAGTGCTCTTTTCCGAAGCAAAACTCTCAAACCGTTAACTATTTCTTCACCAAACTTGGCACATAGATTGGTCTGGTGGTGTACTGGTGCCTTTTGGTAGTTTTGGAATTCTATGAATAAAATACTTAGACTGAAATTGGTTTTGGCATTTCCACTCTGGCAACATTTCTTCACCAAACTTAGACTGTGTACTGGTGGTGTAGTGCTCTATTCAAGCTCGAGACAGAACTCTCAAACCGTTTACTATTTCTTCACCAAACTTGGCACATAGATTGGTCTGGTGGTGTACTGGTGCCTTTTGGTAGTTTTGGAATTCTGAATATAATATTTTTGGCATTTCCATGCCAACAAGTTTGACTTAGACTGAAATTGGTGGTAGTGCTCTTTTCCGAAGCAAAACTCTAAAACCGTTAACTATTTCTTCACCAAACTTGGCACATAGATTGATCTGGTGGTGTACTGGTGCCTTTTGGTAGTTTTGGAATTCTGAATATAATATTGTTGGCATTTCCATGGCAACAAGACTTAGACTGAAATTGGTGGTACTTAGACTGAAATTGGTGATAGTGCTCCTTTCTGGTCTGCAGAACTTTAAAACCTTTCAATGCTCTCCTTCCACTTTTCTATATACACACCTAAATATTTGACATAATCATAACTCGTAGACATAATCATGAAGAGTATTTTGCCATTGCTGGGGATATTGATGACTTTGTCTTCTTGTTTCAATTTTTTGGTCAAGTGAATTAGATGATAATTTCCTTTTGCCTAGTAGTTTATATTGATCGCTTTGAATATTGTGAACATCAATGATTTTGATTTTTAGCTGATATTTTTCCTTTCAGGGAGAGTACCTTGACCTTATTTTGCACCCATCAGAGTTCAAGGTCAAAGTTGGGTCTTCACTCTGCAATGTCACTGAGGTCAAGGCCACCTCACTTCTCTGTACTCCAAGCAACAAGCCAGTTAGTGTCAGTGAAAATGAAAATGATCAAGTATCTCACTTGGTGACCGTAAGTACACATTCTTGAAAAATTGTATCACCCAGGGTTTTACATGACGCGTGATTCCTGTGTATTTGACGTAACAACGACTCTCAAAATATTATCATACGAGTCAAGCTTGATGCAAGTTTTATGGGTGACCCTCACAACTCAGTTCAATAAAATCGATTTGATAAGCAAAAAATGATATTGTCAGATTGTTCCAGAGAACTCCCAAATATTGAAAATGACTCCCAAAAATAAAATATTGTGAGTCACCATGACTCCCACTTTTAAAAGTCTGTGTAAAACCCTGATCACCATGGTTACGTTGTATACTGGTCACTTGATGACATTTGTATTTCGTTTCCTTCTCCATATATGGACATGGACATTTGATAAAAGACATAAAAATGATATTATTCCCAAGGCAAAATAATCTTTTAAGGGAGAAAATGTAATTCTTTTGGAAAACATTCCAGGCCCCAGGCCCTATGATCATGTGTCTGTAAGAGCATGTACATACTGTAGCTTAAACAATGTCAAAGATCTGTACCATTTCACCCTTATGCAGGCCTACCAAAGAAAACTTTCCCACTGTGCAGAAAAACGCAGAAAAGCCCACATTAATCATTAATTAAGCAACATAAACACATTACCTCGCTACTGAAACAGTAAAAACGGCAACGAAAAACTATGAAACTGCAACATTTTTTATATCAAATTATATTATGTTATAATTAGTATGCCTTCAAGAGCAGAAACAGATTGAAATGAATTTTGAATCTTTTGTTAAAGTGGTCCTATGTAAGGTGCCATATGCACCTTATGTATACCTAAGGCTGGTGGGGTAGCCTAGTGGTTTAAGTGTCCGCTCATCATGCTGAAGACCAAGGTTTGATTCCCCACATGGGTACAATGGGTGAAGCGGTTGTCTCACAAAACCCCTACATGCCATAACCCCTACAGCCCAGTACCCCTACAAAACAACACGCTGCATTTACCTGTCTGGCATAATGAACTGACCCAAAGGCGATTACAGGGTGGAGTTGAACTTGCACAGAGTATACCGATGAGAAGGGAATAAGATTGTGATGTGGTTATTAGGGTTTTAGTAGTTCATTTTAAATAAATGAGATGAATTAAATGTTGAACTAGTTTTTTCAGCTTCCTGATATACATAATAAGTAGACAGAATTTGCAAATCGTAATAATATCAGTTGTAATAGTGTTGGTGATAGTAAACTGAGATAAATAATTTGAGATGATTTGGGATGGTATATACAAGGGGCATTCAAAAAGTAGTCACGATGTGGAATGTTTGAAAAGCTTCCATTTTATTTTGAAGAAATTATTAGCAAAGCCATATCAAAAAAATTTAACATATCACAACACATTGGGGTATAGTATTTCTTTAAAAAATTGCAAAAAATAAAAACGATCTGTTATTTGGTACCTCTTGGATAATGGTATGCCCTTAGATAATATCATATAAAATATGTTCAGTAAAATATTGGATGACTGCTCATCATAATCAGCCTTCAAAGATTTGGATTGTTTGATTTACATTTGGACGGGGGACTGTTTTTCAAGGATACCCCTATTTTATTCTTTCAAAAACTGTGTCCAGATATTCAAGCTGGTACTGTTTACAATATATTGAGAGCTGACACTTGTGAGACCATTCAGTGTTTAGTTTGAACCCTTGACATCACGTATAAATAAGTGAAAACATTAGAATAAGTTATGTCCTTCTGATTACGTCTTCTGGAAGGGGTTGGGTAGTGTCTCCAAAACAAGCTCTTTCAGTAAAACTTTAACAAGCGATTGCAGTTTCAAATTGCTTTTATGCACTTTAATATCTAAGTTTTATTCTAGCAGACTTCTGCCTATCTCAAAGACACAAAATGTTTATTGCATATTTTCTTTCTGATGCATTTATTGCAGATTTTGTTTTTTTGGGGGGGGGTACCAAGATAAAGTCAAACAAAATGGGGATCGTGAGGCTGTAACATAGCAAAGCCAATTTGCTTCAGGTTGACAGATTATATGTAGAAAAATAAAACATAGAAAACATTTAATATGTTATGACATTATGATATTTAATGAAGTTAATAAAACCTCAAGTTCAATATTACTGAACTTTTTTAAAGATATTTTTGTTATCATCCATTAAAACCATTCTAAGTGTTTGGGCTGGTCCATTGTATGAAATAGGTACCAGGCAGGATTGTTGTTGTAAGCTGTTGGGGTTATGGGATGTAGGGGTTATGGGATGTGGGGGTTATGGGATGTGGGGGTTATGGGATGTTGGGGTTATGGGATGTAGGGGTTATGGGATGTTGGGGTTATGGGATGTAGGTGTTATGGGATGTTGGTAGACTAAGGCTTAGTCTCTGAATATATATAATTTTGATAGTAACAAACAAGCCCATTTATATTGAAAAGGAGCCCTAGGGAGACCAGTTGGGGAGGTTACCAGTAAAGCCCATTTCCGGTGTCCCCGCCGTGATAATGCTAGAATATTGCTAAAAACAGCGTAAAACTAGACTCAACGTGTTCTCCCTTGATTGAGTTAGTTCTATGAACTAACACATTTTTCTCCCTTGATTGAGTTAGTGTCGTGAAATAACATATTGTTCTCCCTTGATTGAGTTAGTGCTATGAACTAACACATTTTTCTCCCTTGATTGAGTTAGTGTCGTGAAATAACACATTGTTCTCCCTTGATAGAGTTAGTGTCATGAAATAACACATTTTTCTCCCTTGATTGAGTTAGTGTCATGAAATAACATATTGTTCTCCCTTGATTGAGTTAGTGTCATGAACTAACACATTGTTCTCCCTTGATAGAGTTAGTGTCATGAACTAACACATTGTTCTCCCTTGATAGAGTTAGTGTCATGAACTAACACATTGTTCTCCCTTGATAGAGTTAGTGTCATGAACTAACACATTGTTCTCCCTTGATAGAGTTAGTGTCATGAACTAACACATTGTTCTCCCTTGATAGAGTTAGTGTATGAACTAACACATTGTTCTCCCTTGATAGAGTTAGTGTATGAACTAACACATTGTTCTCCCTTGATAGAGTTAGTGTCATGAACTAACACATTGTTCTCCCTTGATAGAGTTAGTGTCATGAACTAACACATTGTTCTCCCTTGATAGAGTTAGTGTATGAACTAACACATTGTTCTCCCTTGATAGAGTTAGTGTCATGAACTAACACATTGTTCTCCCTTGATAGAGTTAGTGTCATGAACTAACACATTGTTCTCCCTTGATAGAGTTAGTGTCATGAACTAACACATTGTTCTCCCTTGATAGAGATATGAGTAGAGTTGATAGAGTTAGTGCATGAACTAACACATTGTTCTCCCTTGATAGATGAATGAACTAACACATTGTTCTCCCTTTGATAGAGTTAGTGTATGAACTAACTAACACATTGTTCTCCCTTGATAGAGTTAGTGTAACACATGAACTAACACATTGTTCTCCCTTGATAGAGTTAGTGTCATGAACTAACACATTGTTCTCCCTTGATAGAGTTAGTGTCATGAACTAACACATTGTTCTCCCTTGATAGAGTTAGTGTCATGAACTAACACATTGTTCTCCCTTGATAGAGTTAGTGTATGAACTAACACATTGTTCTCCCTTGATAGAGTTAGTGTCATGAACTAACACATTGTTCTCCCTTGATAGAGTTAGTGTCATGAACTAACACATTGTTCTCCTTGATAGAGTTAGTTGATGATAGAGTTAGTGTATGAACTAACACATTGTTCTCTCCTTGATAGAGTTAGTGTCATGAACTAACACATTGTTCTCCCTTGATAGAGTTAGTGTATGAACTAACACATTGTTCTCCCTTGATAGAGTTAGTGTCATGAACTAACACATTGTTCTCCCTTGATAGAGTTAGTGTCATGAACTAACACATTGTTCTCCCTTGATAGAGTTAGTGTCATGAACTAACACATTGTTCTCCCTTGATAGAGTTAGTGTCATGAACTAACACATTGTTCTCCCTTGATAGAGTTAGTGTATGAACTAACACATTGTTCTCCCTTGATAGAGTTAGTGTATGAACTAACACATTGTTCTCCCCTTTGATAGAGTTAGTGTGTCATGAACTAACACATTGTTCTCCCTTGATAGAGTTAGTGTATGAACTAACACATTGTTCTCCCTTGATAGAGTTAGTGTCATGAACTAACACATTGTTCTCCCTTGATAGAGTTAGTGTCATGAACTAACACATTGTTCTCCCTTGATAGAGTTAGTGTCATGAACTAACACATTGTTCTCCCTTGATAGAGTTAGTGTATGAACTAACACATTGTTCTCCCTTGATAGAGTTAGTGCCATGAACTAACACATTGTTCTCCCTTGATAGAGTTAGTGTCATGAACTAACACATTGTTCTCCCTTGATAGAGTTAGTGTCATGAACTAGCACATTGTTCTCCCTTGATAGAGTTAGTGTCATGAAATAACATATTGTTCTCCCTTGATTGAGTTAGTGTCATGAACTAACACATTTTTCTCCCTTGATTGAGTTTGTGTTATAAACTAACACATTGTCCTTCCTTAATTGAGTTAGTTTGGTGAACGAACACATTAATCTTCCTTGATCATGCTAGTGTAAGTATTTAACTGCATCTGCTCACAGGTCAATATTCTGCCTGCATGAAATGGGAGTAAGTATCCATTATTTTTCCTTATCCTGACTCATGATCTTTCCTTATCTCCCTCTTCTATGCGAATGGTAGTGGAACACTTGAATCCTTTGTAGTTCCCTAAAGCGGACATAAAAGTACACTCACCCATGAGTTACCTCCCTTCTCCCATGCAAACAGTCATGTGACCAGCCTTACTTGTCACTCTCTCCCTTTTCGCCCAAGCGGATGGTTGGGCGAGCACTGGAGTCCCGTATACGGCATATATCCTTTATATCTAGATCTAGATCCTATCTATCGAAATTAACGCTGTGTATGGTATTTGGCTATAACTAATGTGTAT